ATTTTAGTGTCTCTCTTATATCGAAATTCTGAGAACAAATATTCAAATTTACATAATAGAGAAGAAAAATACCACAACCAAATAGAGAAAAATATACAATATTCATAATCAATTGATATCTACACCAAATTATTTATCTTATGTTTCATAATGTTCAGATTGGCTCTCCTGTTCTGTTCTGTTCTTTGTCATAAAGGACAAATAAGTAACTAGTAACTGCTGATTGAAACATTATTTTTCTGTACAAATATATTTCAGAATGTTTCAAGAACCTGACTACAGAGAAAACTTATCATTGATGTTATCAGAGGTTTTAGATGACATTGGTGTCAATGAAAGAATTGTGATGAGAAGGAGAAGAGGATACATGCTGAGAGAGACTATGAGTAATATCAAGAACAGGTTAACTGATATAAATGGAACTACCTATTATCTAGGGAGTCAAAGTGAAGGTACAACTACTATAGGACTTCATTCAGACTTTGATATACTATTCTGTATCATGATGTCAATATAATACAAGACTGGTCAGAGTGGGAACATGGCAAGTTAAACTACCTCATGATACAGGATGAGAACACTACTCCCGGGTATTGTTTCTTACAACTACTCAGAGATGATGAACCTCTTCCTGCAACTGTCATTCCTGATGAACACCATATTACTGATAGAAGAGGAAGAATATTGTATAAAAACACAATGATAAATGATTTGCTTCAGGGTGCTCAGCAGCAGCATGGACCATCTATTGCTGAACAAGGACAACCTGGATTATGTGATAGAGACAGAGTGATAGCTTTTCCATGTAAATCATGGCCTCAATCAGCATCAGGTTGGTTAGATAGACAGGGTATTGGCAGATGGCCAACACAAGAGATGAGAAGATATGCAGCCAGTACTGGGTGTTTTGTTGTTCCAACTGGAAGTAAGGTCAGTGAATATCCTGAACTGGAATGGAGAATATCAACATCATTGGCAGAAAGATTTATTATGTTCAATCTAAATATAACACAAATAAGGTGCTATGTACTATTGAAAATGATTCTTAAGTCCTTCCTTAATCCTCAAGATGAAATCAACATATCAAGTTTCATGTGTAAAACAGTTCTATTACATTGTATAGAAAACACAGAGTCAGGAATATGGAAAGATAACAATTTATTTACATGTTTAACATACTGCTTACTGGAATTACAGAGTTGTGTACAAAATGACTGTTGTTCACATTTTATTATACCAGAAAATAATTTGATGGCAGGGCAATTTACAGCTGAGACAAAACATGAACTTTCAAAAAATATTTGTGATTTTATACAGAATGATAGACAACGGTTATTTAGTATTGATATTGATGATGTTGGTCATAGACTTCAAGTTAAACTGAACAGGGTACCACATGGAGTTTACTATTTTCCTTCTTCTCTTGAAATACATGGACATGTTTTGACCTGGGCATATTTAAACATTGCAAACATCATAAGTATACAGCATGAATATATTTTAAATCATTTACACAATAAAAACATTAGAACAATAAAGCAGTCTGTAGGTAAAGTAATGACCTTCAGTGACAATGGTAATAGATTAGAACATGCTGCATTCAAGCTTCTAGCACCTTTTCTTTTTACAACATATGGATCTATCCTAGCATCATCCAGCATTGGTGAAAATAATCAAGTGTCACCTGAATCATTGGTTTGGTTATCAGCTGGTTTAAACTCAGATATCTCATCTAGCAGACTTAAGTTGGCTTCAGTGTTTTATAGTACAGGAGATATGGAGGAAGCTGAACTAATTCTGAGACACGCAGAACAACAATATTATTCTCACCCTGTTTTACCTTTCTGTTCCTGTCGTAAGCAGCCCCTAGAAGCAGTAACAGCAGAATTCGAGAGGGTATGTAATGAACAAAGTGAGGACTGTATCAAACATATTACATCTTTTTGTGTCAGATTTATACAGGAAGAGTTTAACTGTGTTCCTCATGAACTACAATATGAAATGTTCAGATCTACACAAGATGACATGATACACAGACATAAGTATAAAGATTGTTGGATGGACTGGGCTGTAGTTGATTCTCTCCCTTTCCTGTACTTCCTACAATACAAGATCTACCGTCATCTACATAGACATCAAGAACAACAACAAGCACTTTGTAAACTTATAAGAACTATAAATACAGATGAAAACCTCAGACATAGAGAAACAGCTCTAAACATTTTAGGACAATGTATGGAACAAGAAAACAGACCTCAACAAGCATTAAACTGCTACATGCTTTCTCTTCAACAAAGACCAAGGAACAATGTAGCAAGCATCCATATATGTAAGCTCCTTTCTGGCTTACTGGTTAGCCAATAAACTTAGATAAATAAAAAAAAAAGTATGAAGACTTTAGTTTTCAATGATATGATTATCAATCAGATAAAATGACAAAATGTAGGCCTGTCTTTACATTTTTTATCACATATTATTTTGAAATACCATTAAAGATGCGAAATTGAGAGAATGATCCTAACTTCATTGACTTTGAGTATCTGACTTTACATTTAAGAGTTAAGAGCATCTTGTGTAGAGGACCAGTATTGCTCGTGAAATTGTATTTTAAATTTTAGTTTACAAGGTGAAGTTTATTCCAAGTTTTTTTTTATACAGTAGTCAAAACAGTTTAGCTTCTATTGTTGGCAATATTTATTAAAAGTCTTGTTTTATAAATGTTTCTTGTAGTTCTTGTTCTTATTTTATATATGTACCCTGTATACATCTGTATATAGTCTAGTGCTTATTTTTTCTATGTTCTCTGTATATAAATGACCCTTTTTAATGCAGTCATCAGCCATTATTGTCTCAGGTCAATAAGAATAATGAAATAGTCAACTGTAGAATGTACAAAACAATACAAGAGGGCCATAATGGCCCTATATCACTCAACTAAATTTCTAGAAAAAGTCACAATTCTTAAATGCTAAAGCAAGTCATTAGAAGGGATCAATTTGGATCAAAAGGGTATGAATAAATCAATTTCTATTGGTGTTCACTAGGCAATGCCAGTATAATAGAAGATTTTTTGTTGTTTTTACTATACAAATGTGAGGAATATCAATGACCCCCGGGGCAGGGGCCAATTTTGACCCAAGGGCTATAAATTGGAACAAACTTAGTAGAGGTCAACTTTTATTTAAACAAACTTGGTATTCACTCACTAGAAGATGTTTTATGCTAAATATCTTAACTTTAGTTCTTTGGGGTAATTTTTTTTTTTAAAAAGATTTTGAAGTTGTTTTCTTTTGGTTGCCTTGGCAAACAGACTTCTTCTTCGAATTCAATTCTTTGAATAATTTTTAAAGGTGATCTCACAAAGAACATTCCTGTAAAGTTTAGATGAAACTGGCTAAGCGGTTTATGAGTAGATGTTGTTTAAAGTAAAAGATTATGTATGGCTGTTCACAAAATTGCAAATCACAAAAGTTCACCTTGTCACTTTGTGACAGGTGAGCTAAAAAACAAGGGAATTTCATTAATTTGACATTGAAAGTCAAAGTATACAATATAAATACATCTGCTTTTGTCCAAGTACATTGTATAAATCATAAATAACAAATTATGACAATTTAAAAGTCAATAATTTGACCTTGATAGTCAAGGTCATTTAAAGCTCAAGTTCAACCTTTTTAGAAAGTCTTCTCCACAGGTCATTTTGTCAAAGTCTGAAGATAATCCATTTATCAATTACCAAGTTTCAATCAAAACCAATGAAGATTCAATAATTTGACCTTCAAAGCCAAGGTCAGAAATGAGTCAATTTGAGTTTGATATACATATAGGTTTTATCCTAAAGAATGTTTGTCTCATTGTGAAGTTAATCCATTCATTAATAACAAAGTTATAGCCAGTTAAAGCAAAAAAAAGAGTAAAATTTCAATTGTTTGACCTTCAAGGTCAAGGCTATTTGTAAGTGAAGGTCAAAACCTGTCTGCTCAACTTGAAGGTCTATCATCAAAGATTGTTGTGTTCAAATTTGAAGACAATTCATTAAAAAACAAAATGGCCATTATGGCCCTGAAATCACTCACCAGTATATAAAAGCTCTCCATGACAAAGAACAAGTAATATTGTAAACAAATTTTGACCCTGGGGCTTTTATTTGAACAAATTTGGTAGACACTCACAAGAAGATGTTTCATGCTTAATATCTAAGCTCTAGATCTATGGGTTATTTAAAAGAAGACTAATCAAGTTTTTACTATATACATATAAGGAAAATCTATGACCCCCGGGGTGGGGCCAATTTTGACCCCGAGGGATTTTATTTGAACAAATTGATATACACTCAATAGAAGCTGTTTTTATGCCAAATATCTAAGCTCTAGCTCTTTGGGTTTTTTACAAGAAGATTTTAAGTTTTTACTATATACATATAAAGACACCGGGGGGGGGGGGGGGGGGGGGGTGTGGGGGTGGGAAGGTTAAGCAATTTTGACCCCAGGGCTTTTATTTGAACAAACTTGGTAGACATTCACTAGAAAATGTTTCATGCTAAATACATTAGCTCCAGCTCTTTGGGTTTTTTTAAAAGATGAATTTTTTTGTTTTTACTTTTTACATATAAGGAAAATCAATGACACCCTTGGGCGGGGCCAATTTTGACCCCAGGGCTTTTATTTGAACAAACATGGTAGACACTGACTAGAAAATGTTTCATGCCAAATATTAAAGCTCTATCTATTTAGGGTTTTTTAAAAGATTTTTTTCAAGTTTTTTCTTTTGGTTGCCATGGCAACCAGAGTTCTGCATAGAATTAAATTCTTTGAACAATTTTTAAAGTTGAGTACCAACGAAACATTCCTGTGAAGTTTGGATGAAATTGGCTTTGCAGTTTATGAGGAGATGTTGTTTAAAGTAAATGTTTACGGACGGACAACAGACGAAAAGGGATCACAAAAGCTCACCATGTCACTTTGTGACAGTGTTTAGCTAAAAACTTCACCAGTACAAACCTATGAAATCACAAACTGAGGGTGTGGCACTCCCTAAAGATCCCCCATCTGTTGTTTCCTCCATTGTCATACAGTCTGTGTCAGGATTCCAACCCATGGCCAGAGCTTGCAGGATCAATTTCAATATCACAACACTGTGACAGCTTTTTACAACTGAAATAAATCAGGTTACATCTTTAAATGCTAGCCACATTAAAAACTTTATGTATGCCACTGTTATGTATGACACTTTTATGAATGCCAATTTTATATAGATAGGATATTAAAGTTTTTTTCTACAAATACGGGATTTATTTTCATCAAGTGGTATGAAAATAAATATTTCACAAGTGGCAGTAGCCATGAGTGAAATATGATAATTTTCATAATTTTCTTTTTATTATATACATTTTTCCCTTATTTTACATCAGACTTTGAATGACTTTCCCTAAAATTTTATACATTGGTTGTACATAGCTTAAAGTAGTCCGCAAGACACCCGTGAAAATACGGAAAATATGTTTCACTGCAGTCACCATTATGTAAGTCTGACCAGCCTATACTTTTGCAACTCTGTGCAGTCTGGGCATACTTTATACTGTTGGCTGCTAGAAAGAGGGTAGCATTTGCTTCATTGGTAAGATGTCTGCATCTCAAATCAGAGATTTTGGGTTCAAGCCCTATTATGGTGACAATCATGCTTCCTCAAGTGACACGGGTCACACCAGTACAGGTTAGCCCCTGGAAACAGTACTGGTTGGTTCCAGAAACAGATTCCAAAGTGTGTTTACAAGCTAATGGCTTCCTTCACAATCAAACTAAAATAAATTCTGTATATTAAACCAAAATCGACAACTTTTCTGGGCTACATTTTATAAATGATAAGACAAAGTCCCTTGAAGGAAACAAAATTAGTCTTAAAATACAAGCAGAAACAGCAGCAAATGTACTGGCTGGCATAAAGTCACTAACATAAACAAGATATGTAAAAAATCGACAGTGATGACTATTTCTAGAGTTTGAAAGTACAAAGAAAGTTGTACAGGAAATTTCTTAATACACTAAGAGGTATAATTCAGTGAGTAACTATGCTACAGAACTGGTGGTCTTGGATAGTGACATACATTGCGAGTCGGAAAACCAAATTACTTTTAACATAGTCAAGCTAAAATACCATAAACGTGGGAAATTTTTGTGGTTCATAAGGTATTGTCTATGATATGAAATTTACCTAGATATTTAAATACACTGCTGGCAGCTTGTCTCACTGTAGATGCTGGGTGTGATAGGTATAAAAGAAATGTTGAAATATATTCTGGCCAACCTGGCAATAAATAACTCAGAGGTATCACCTGCAATATACAGAAATATATTAAAGGGACTCCACTGAGGTTTTTTGACATGATGGGAGTGAAAATATTTTTATAAGATAAATGTACCAGTTGATGTAGGTTTAGACCACTAATCTTTGTGCAAAATCTCAGATCATTCGCGAACTTCGTTTTTTCGGAATGATTATTCAAATTGTAAAAAAATGACCCAAAATGAAAAGCGTTGAATCGCTTTTCACTCAAATCGGGCCAAGAAAAGCATAAAAATATGATTTTCAATTTATTTCAAAGTATATTTCCTAACTATCTTTACATATCTTTCTGTTTAAAGTCAAATGTTATATTTTTAAGCTTTTAAACCTCAGTGGAGTTCCTTTAACTTTGTTCACATTTTTTCTTTTTTTGCAAGCAACATACATATGATATTGTATCAAATTGTGGGGCGTCCTTGGATGAATGGTTAAGGTCGTTGACTTCAAATCATTTGCCCCTTACCACTGTGGGTTCAAACCCCAACAAAGACCTTATATTCTTGAATGAGAGGAAGCTTTCCAGCCAGCTTACTGAATGTAGGTGGTTCTACTCAGGTGCCCATTTGTGCCTGAAATAATGCATGGAATGGTATCTGAGATATCTCTCCACCAGTAAAGGTAGAAAGGCGCCATATGACCTATACTGTGTTTGTGCGACTTAAAACCAAAACAATTAAACAAGTTTAAAATTGTAGTAAAATCCAAATGCACTGAATTTATCTTGTGTGTGTATTATATGACCCAATTGAGTTCAAGTGTCAGAGTGTTATATGAATCATATAAGTCAGATAATCTTAAAAACCACCACAGCAACTCACTTTAACTCAACTTTACATATCAAATAATGCTACTAAATGTTCACTAATTCCACTTAATACTACATGTCACTACTGTGACTATTTTACCTTTAAAAAAAACAATCGATGATCAAAATGCATATTAAAAGACACATAGTAATGAACTTACCTTGACTAGAAATATACAAACACCAAGAAACCCCTCAGAGGCGTAATCATCCAAAAACTGACCTTTACTGACCTAACACAAAAAATAAATCAAAACAACATGTATAATTATACTATATTTCAATCACAGGTATCATTCATAGCTTAATCAGCCCACATCATAAAAATTCATGAAAATTTCAATGCACTGAAATATGAAAACTTTCTAATGTCACTTATATAGAAAGATCTAAGGTACGCTTTATTTCAGACAAATAATGACACTGAAGCATGACTTATAACCTTCTACAAACCATCTTGATAATATTCTAACACTATCTCAAAAATCTTGATGTAAATACAAAACAAATGGCCTAGAAAACATATTTTTAATTAAAATTAGTGTAAACACTGTCCTATTATCCTTTAACTTCCCTCAGCATGAAGCTATAGAAACGACATGTAACATAACACTTACCCTTCTTAGATCGAAAATGATAAACCTTTGCAATCAGAATAGAGCCAGCCCAGTCTCCGCATTTAAGTAGTCTGACCATGCAGGCTCTATCCTGATGGCTGACTGATTTTAAATTTTCACCATGATAGACATGAATAACAAAGATAATGACAATATGCTAACTCCTCCCAATCCTACCCCCAAATATCTCCATCAATGCTGGACAATAAACTATATACTTAAACAAAATTAAGGTTCATTTTTTTTTATTATACGTATATAACAGAGATACAATCAGTGATTGCATATATTTTGTCATTAACAGAGTTATTTCCCCTTGGCCAATGTTATTCATGCCTTGGGGTTGTGTAAAGATTTCTTAAGATTGCTTAATACTGGTTGGTTCCAGGAACAGATTTGAGAGTGTTTCAATATGTTTATAGCTTCCAACACAATCAAACTAAAATAAATTTGTATAAACTAAAGATTTTCCCTTAGTTTGATGAGAAATTGTGTTTAATGTTTTATACATAACTATGTTACCTGAGTATTTCCCTTAGAGTCCTGCTTCTTCTTTAGGATTTGTATCACCTCGTATAAGGTATTCAATGCATCCTAAAATCATAATAAATTATGATAAACATATCAAAATTATGGTTACAAAATGAAACTTTGCTATTCATTATTCTACAAAAACGTAAGCTATAAAGAGATAAGAAATCAATTTAAATGTTTAAATATTTGAATATTGAAATACTTAATACAGTCGTTAGTGAAACATATGTTTATTCCTATGCTATTGTCTGGACAAATCTCTTAACGGTTATGGCAAACCCTAATGAATAGGTAAATACTGATCAATTCTGGGAAATATAATAACACCGAAACAGCTCTCATTTTCATTCCATTGTTTTGTGACATATATATTTATAGCAAAATCTTGTCATCCCAGACCGATTTTTTCCATTGTCGTGTCATTATTTGAGAAAATACATCAGAGTCTGTAATCATTAACTCACTAAGCCGATTTTTTTTTTCAACACAGACACAAACCGTAATTTCATTACTGTTTGAAGCTTCGACAGAAATATTTTTTGTGTAATGTGAATGGTAACTAAGTGAGCCGCGTCACGACAAAACCAACATAGTGGGCTGGTCTGGATCCATGCTGGTCGCAAACCCATTATGTTGGTTTTGTCATGGCGCGGCTCAAGTTGTTTAACATACCATGACACTAGAGCATGTGATATATGTGGCAAGAGTCTTGGCTGCGTGTTCACGTATAGTCAACTGTGAATGTGACAAGAGGTCAAACACAACCGAATGTATCTTTGCCATCACAAACTCAGGTAAGTGGCTTTCCTACGAAAAAAATAAATCAAAAGAGTGAATTAAAAAATATGATGTACATGTATACAGTTGATAACAATTATTTATATAGTTGTTGAAACTTTCTACTGATCTAAAAAAGCAGCATACGTAAATACAGTGTAACCTCTGCAGAGTGGCCAACTGTAAAGCAAGTACCTCTTTACAACAGCCATATCAATTTTACCAAAAGTAAGATTTCCCAACAAATTTAACCTCTCTAAAGCAACACATCTTAGAAATTATCAAAATCTTTGTCCCCCAAAGGGTGTTGCTATACAGAGGTATTACTGTACATCATTCTTCTACTGGGATGATAATTTACTGTATTACTGTACTTATATTTTCCTTGCCAAATTTGAAATAAAATAATGCATTAAGTATGGACAGCCATTATATTTTCCCTTACATGTAAGTAAAGAAAGCCCACAGAATACATTTTCTTTGATTTTTTATTTTTTTTGCTTTAGTCACATCTATTCTGTAAAGATCACTTTTAAACTTCACTGGTGTAGGAAGTTCTCTCTCATCAGGTGTCCCTTTGCACAGCATCTGTGTCTGCATGGGTAAGGTAGTTGACTTCAAACCACATGCCCCTCACTGCTGTGGGTTTGAATCCCGCCAAAGACCTTGGATTCTGTCATGTGAGGACGCTATCCAGCTAGCTTAAAAAATGTTGGTGGTTCTAAGCAGGAGATCATTCATGAAATAATATTTGAAATAATGCATGGAAGGGCACCTGAGGTATTCCCTCACCAGTAAAGCTGGAAAATCTCCATATGACCTTCACAGTGTTGGTGCGATGTTAAACTCAACCAAAAGAAAGTGTTCTTTCATGCATTATCTAGACATGACCTCTTACACAAGTAGCTAGCTGAATAACTTCCCTATATGAAATAAATCCATTCTATGGCAGGATTTTTACCCCTAGCATTCAGGAGCAAGTGGGCCATATCAGTGACCCTAACTACTCTACCAAGGAAGCTCCGTGTGAGCCCAAATAAAGGATCAATAAAGTATAAGTGTGCTGTTACCTGAGATTCAGTGTCTAGTGTACGTGGAGATGACATGGGAGACTTGGAGCTGGATGATTTAAGAAATCTTTGTAATATTGCATTTATTCCTGAAATATATACATTTAACAATAAATTTTCTATTTTATTAAACTATTTTACTGTTTCTTTTATTCATTCATTTCTTAAACTTTGCATACGTTTTTCTCAAATTTGTTTGGTTCTAAAGTCTATTTTACCACATTTTTGGTCATATTTTGGTGGTCGTTCCAACTTATTGACTTGTCTTGTTTAACTAACATTGCCACATTCTCCACCCAGGGACCGACTACCAATCCCACATGATTTCTGATTTCATTTGTGAGTGACAAATGACTATTAGGTTCAATGTCTAAGGTATCAACTGTCACCGGAAATTTTTTCTTGCCCTAGGATCGAACCACCATCCCTTGGATTACAAAATCCAATGTTCTTTTTATCGATCTTTGTGGGCAAACTAAGTTTGATGTTTTTGAAAAATTCTTTTACTAATCTAATGAAAGAATAGCTATCACTGTTGCTACAGAAATTCTGTCATATTTACCCATTATTGCCCCTTCTTTCATTTGCCATGAGGAATCTTCTTCACAAATCTGTAAATCAAGGAATATCAAAATGAAAAGAGTTTTTCTTTCATCTCCTAACATGTCACTGGAATAAAAACAAGTGATTTACTAAGTCTTCTGAATTTAAAATTTACTTCATACAAATAATATTCTAATTAAGAAAATAAATGATCACTACAAAGCCTGGTTAACTGACTACTACAGGTAAAACTCTTTTACAAAATTCAATGGTATACTTTAACAAAGCATGCTTATTTTATTAGAGAAAAGGCTACCTTGACTAAACTATCAAACAATGTTTGAACATTTTCCAAGTTGAGATTTGCAGCCACAGGTCCGAGCCTTCCAGCACATGCGTTCCTAATGGCGGACCACACATCGGTAATGGACAGTATGACAAGATCGTGTATATCTTGGAAGAAAGAAGTGTCACATAACTGCTCGGCATTAGACTTGCACCAATCCAACGTGTGTATAACTGCACGGTTACGTACCACAGGCATACTGGCCGCTGAAAATTTCATATAAAAATTTCGTTACTAAAAATAGATTTTTTTCTCTCAAAATAGATTTTTTCCAAGAAAGTTGCTACAGCTGGCTAAAGATTCAGGAAACATGATCATGACCCATTATTGTCTAACATATTTTCTTTAGTTGACAGGCAGAATACTGCCATCCAAAGACCAATTCTCCACCTGTAATTCAGTCTTGTAAACACAGAAATTAACTGCTTTTACCCTTTCACATTCTAACAAAGTACTAAACTAATGGCTTATCACCTTTTTTCTTTGCCTTTTAATGGTGATTTTCCAGCTTTACTGGTGAAAGAAGAGCTCAGGTGCCCTTCTGTGCATTATTTCAGGCACAAATGGGCACCTCAGAGTAGAACCATCAATGTTCAGTATGCTAGCTGGATAGCTTCCTACCATGAAAGAATCTGAAGTCCCAATCAGCTTTCAACCAACAGCAGCAAGAGGCAAGTGGCTTAAATTCAAAAACCTTAACAACTCAGCCAGGGACTCCCCTGCTTATCAGCTTAAAATTTTTACATTGAAAAGTGCCAAAAAAGGAATGCAAACAAGACCATTTAAGAAATTTAGCAGGTTGAAAACTTGAGATTCAAAACACAACCACATTGTACATGTACAAATGTAGTTTTAATTAAACATGATTGGTGTAAATTGTACTTACTCTGTTTAATTGTGTATTTTAAGGCAAGCAAAAGCGGCTGGTTTAGCTCTTGATACATAAACCTGTAAAATGTACATTTAAATATTAAATGAATGTCCATTTATATCATACTTCACCAGAAACTGATGAAAATTCATTTATATCATACTTCACCAGAAACTAATGAATATTTATTTATATCATACTTCACCAAGAACTAATGAATATTTATTTATATCATACTTCACCAAGAACTAATGAATATTCATTTATATCATATTTCACCAAGAACTAATGAATATTTATTTATATCATACTTCACCAGAAACTGATGAATATTCATTTATATCATACTTCACCAGAAACTGATGAATATTCATTTATATCATACTTCACCAGAAACTAATGAATATTTATTTATATCATACTTCACCAGAAACTGATGAATATTCATTTATATCATACTTCACCAGAAACTGATGAATATTCATTTATTATTTATATCATACTTCACCAAGAACTAATGAATATTTATTTACATCATACTTCACCAGAAACTGATGAAAATTCATTTATATCATACTTCACCAGAAACTGATGAATATTCATTTATATCATACTTCACCAAGAACTAATGAATATTTATTTATATCATACTTCACCAGAAACTGATGAAAATTCATTTGTATCATATTTCACCAGAAACTGATGAATATTCATTTATATCATACTTCACCAAGAACTAATGAATATTTATTTATATCATACTTCACCAGAAACTGATGAATATTCATTTATATCATATTTCACCAAGAACTAATGAATATTTATTTATATCATACTTCACCAGAAACTGATGAATATTCATTTATATCATACTTCACCAGAAACTGATGAATATTCATTTATATCATATTTCACCAAGAACTAATGAATATTTATTTATATCATACTTCACCAGAAACTAATGAATATTTATTTATATCATACTTCATCAAGAACTAATGAATATTTATTTATATCATATTTCAACAGAAACTAATGAATATTTATTTATATCATACTTCACCAAGAACTAATGAAAATTCAGTATTATCATACTATCAAGAGCTAATGAATATTTATTTATATCATACTTTGCCAAGAACTAATGAATATTCATTTATATCACACTTCACCTGGAACTAATGAATATTCATTTATATCATACATCACCACGAACTAATGAATATTCATTGATATACTTCATAAGTAACACCATCATCAATGAATTCATAATTTTTAATTTTCTAATTTACTAACTCTTATACATGTAATTAGTTCATTTCACATCAACATTCTTTAAGTAACAGAAAACAAAATAATAGCTTTAGTTATTTCAGGTACAACTTACAAGCTAAAAACAGGTCTGGTCAGAACACAATGATTTTGATGAAACTGGCCAGTTTCAATGAATAACTTTTCTGTTCAGTTTAATATGAAACATGCAATTTTAATAAATAATATTTTCTTTTCAGTTTCATATAAAATGAGTAAATTTCAATGAACAATTTTTCTGTTCAGTTTAATATGAAACATGCAATTTTAATAAATAATATTTTCTTTTCAGTTTCATATAAAATGAGTAAATTTCAATGAACAATTTTTCTGCTCAGTTTTATATGAAACAAGCTAATTTAAATGAATATTTTTTCTATTCAGTTTCCAAACAGAATTCTGGCTAATCATCGCACATTAAATTGATTTTCAATCTAATTCCAACATACATGTATTTTTTTGTTATCTTTTGCAGATTTTACAATTTTAAGTGCTCCACTTGGAATTTGTAAGATTTTCAAATTTTATGTTTTTACGCTTTATACCTCAGTGGAGCTACTTTAAGCTGAGCACCGCCTTTATATGAATAACAGAATCATAAACCATTATCACGTACCACTTTATTAACGAGTCAAGCATTGTATTGAGAGCTGCCTTTTGTTTGCTGTTACCAGCTGATTTGGTAGCACCACTACATGACATACGTCGTACACGTCGGCCATCTTCTGTATCAGTCTCCGACCAGCCAAATCTTCTATCAAACAAGTAGCAGGTAAACTTATCTAAACAGTCTTGAGATGGGCAGATATTTTCTAGGGTACCTAACGGGTAAGGATTTCCTTCACCTAAAATATAAAATAAAAATTTTAGCACCATACATTTCGTGTATTTTTGTATTTTATTTTATCTTTTTGAGACAGATTCATGCTGGTTTTTTGTGTTTTGTTCTTTGAGACCTTTACTGAACCCATTCCCAAAGGAATACAATGCCATTGGTGCACTGAAAAGGATAAAAAAAATAATTTTTGATTGCTTTGAAAAATACATAATTTCCATACCATTTATCTAAATTCATCTAATAGAATGCATCAGACCCAAAATGATATAAAAATTCTGATGTATTTGTGCCAAACGCTGTACATAATCAGTAGCATTTTTAAAAAGCATATCGTATTAGGAAAATATCTTTAATTTATGTTTTTGACAGTATGTACCAGTGTATTCTACACACAAAACCAAGATAATTATGCTGACAAGCATCAAAGTGATTACACCTAACCTGCTCTGGAAAATTGGAATAACATGTTTTCACGCAGCAATTATAACCTCCTTTGGCCACAATTACATGTATATTACATAATGTAAGTTTGAATATAGAAATCAACTCCAGTTTCAATTTAAAAATGTAATTATTTTATTTGAAAAATATACAACGTTTCGACTCAAAAGTCTTCATCAGGTATACTTTGTTTACAGGAAAATGACAGTATATTACATAGAATATTGACCCCCAAAATGGCTGCCACTTTTGGTAAGGGGGGGGGGGGGTAAATTTTGTTAAAAAGGGAACTATCTATAAACAAACAAGTAACTGTCACAGGAACTGTTGAAAATATGACCTGTTTTGTTCTTACCAAACAAATCAAAGGTGCCTCCTTTATCAACAAGCCCTGTCAAAGTTGTATCCGATCCACCAGCGTTATGTTTCACAGATAAAGATGAAATCAGTTGTTGTAATATCAAAACTTCCTCATCTGAGCTTACAGCTGATGTCAGCTGGCTAATAAATTCTGACATAGTTATCTTCACCTGAATTATAAGACATAAACATTGTAACTGAACATATTATTTTCCATTAGGTCTCGACCTAAATGTATGTCAAATGGAATAGTAAGGTCAAAAAGTTATTTTCAGTCTTGTCATGTCATAAAACCTCAGTGGAGTCTACTGTGTTCATTATTTTTAACCTTTTTAAAATAGGTATATCTTGTTTTAGAACTACATTTTTTGTTCCTTTTCAAGTCGTTGAACAGGTTGGACCATGGAAGCAATAGGGCATTAACTCTAACACTAGCAAATAGAATAGCTGCATTTCAGCTGCTAAACAGGCCGCAAGTATTGACCAATGTTGGTTACACATGTAAATTGAACCATTTTTTAAGAAATGTTCATAAAATTTTGTGTTTTTGTATTCGGTAAAAAAATTTACAAAATTTGCAAACACTTTTTATAAGTACACCAAGACCAAATAGTTTTTTGAAACATTTGTTACGATTTTGCGGTAAGCATTGCAACTGTTCTAACTTCTCTGAATCACAATTATGATAATATAAGAAAATCAAAATATAGTCAGGCTTTTGTCCCCTATCCGATGGGTCCGAAAATAGGCCCCATTCCCCATCCAATTATATTGGTTTTTTTGCCAAATAAAAATAATATTCCCAATCTAGAAGTTGGTAATATGAAAGAAAAAGTACTGCATTTTCAACTTTGGCATCGCGAAATAGCTTTACGAAATATATTCATGTTTTGAGAATAAATAAACAATTTATTTTTGAAAAATTTGCAGTAGATATATTTAAGGAATATTGATAATTTTCAAATACGCCAACTCTTTTCACCTTAAACAGTAAAATAATGATAGAAAAATAGAAATATCATGTTGCTGTTTTATGTACTTCATTTGGTGTAATTCCCCAGAGCTAAATCCGTAACGTACCCGAAAACGGTGTTTAGCTAGGTTTTCAAAAGGTCAATCAGATTGGAAAAAATACATTGTTGAGTAACACATAAATACAAAAATGTCTTATCCGTTATAAAACACTAAGGTAATATTTAGAATCAACTTAAAACTTTTTCGCCTCTTTGTCAAAACCTAACCTTGGTTATCTGTTATTGCATTTTGTTGTCACAGGGTGAGAAAAATGTGCAGCCTGACCGGGACTCGAACCCGGGACCCTCGGAATACCGTACCGCGGCTCTACCGACTGAGCTATCCGGCCGCTTACACATCTTCTCCCCTATATAGTGAACAGTTCTGAACCGTGACATACTCCCCTGCTATATTGAAATTCGTCCTCGAATTTCACAGAGTTACAGAGCAATGTAAATTAAACTCTGAGCTATATCAGTCACGGTCCCCCGTTGGGCGCCAAATGTCACAGGGTGAGAAAAATGTGCAGCCTGACCGGGACTCGAACCCGGGACCCTCGGAATACCGTACCGCGGCTCTACCGACTGAGCTATCCGGCCGCTTACACATCATCTTCCCTAAATAGTGAACAGTTCTGAACCGTGACATACTTCACCACAATATTGAAATTCGTTCTCGAATTTCACAAAGCTACAGAGCAATGCTAATTGAACTCTGAGCTATAAGCAGTCACGGTTCAGAACTGTTCACTATATAGGGGAGAAGATGTGTAAGCGGCCGGATAGCTCAGTCGGTAGAGCCGCGGTACGGTATTCCGAGGGTCCCGGGTTCGAGTCCCGGTCAGGCTGCACATTTTTCTCACCCTGTGACATTTGGCGCCCAACGGGGGACCGTGACTGATATAGCTCAGAGTTTAATTTACATTGCTCTGTAACTCTGTGAAATTCGGGGATGAATTTCAATATAGCAGGGGAGTATGTCACGGTTCAGAACTGTTCACTATTTAGGGGAGAAGATGTGTAAGCGGCCGGATAGCTCAGTCGGTAGAGCCGCGGTACGGTATTCCGAGGGCCCCGGGTTCGAGTCCCGGTCAGGCTGCACATTTTTCTCACCCTGTGACATTGTAACCGGTTTTCAGCTAAAAACCGACCATACCTATTTCAATGGATAAACGTGACACCCCCATTATAGACCACCCTACCCATGATCTGCTATATTAGTAAGCCTCTACTGGATCACTAAAATAGTAAAAACAGTTCTGCTCATAATTTTTTATGACAAAGTTACGTGTTTAAATGTATTGCATACAAAGCCAGATTTTTTTCTAGCACTCAATAGTTGCTAGAGTTTCTTAGTTCCTTTTACTGCTTTTTGAACACTTGAAAAACAAGTCTTAAAAATTACGATATTTTGCATTTTTAAAAAAAATAAAGGTATGAATAAATGTTTTCCTGCATTTAAGTAAAACAGCTCAGATTTAAATCAGCATGTATTAATTGTTCTCGAAATTTCCATTTATATTTGCAATATTTTAATGTTCTTTGTTCAATTAAGAAGAAATATACTTGGGAAATTTGCAGACTATGGAATTTTAGCCGCCATGTTGTTTACTTGACAGCAAAGCCACTTACTCGAATTTTGGAAAATAGAAAATATAAACTTCCAGTTATTCACAATTATAACTGGTTATAGAAAAATTTATAACAAAATATTATAAAAATTATACTGAAAATATCAACCTACAGTTTTATGCTTATTACTTCTTGATTATAATTCGAATATAACAAACATGGCGCAACATAGCGAAGGTAAATTTCACATTTTTCTTAGTAAAAAAAGGGAAAGAAAATGTTTTAACAACGAACACCCTTAAATATAACTACATATTTCTTGTTCAAATTAAAAATTGTATCAGTCTGTTTACATTTATCATTTCATTTAAACAGATGTTATGATTATTTCCAAGAAAACTTGTGTTCCGTGTTAACCCATTTTATAGAAAGTGGGTGGGGAAAATAAACCGTTATTCTTCAGACTCGTGCAGTATTTATACGTTACTCTATTTAAGGTTATATCCTGGAATAGAAGCCGGGATCTGAACCAGGGGTATATTTTCTTTAGTTTGATATGACATAAGGTGCTACTTAAGTTATGACACAGGTTAAGTTCTTTTGATTTATCCAGTTATCATGCTTATACTCAAATTTATACCTAGTTCTGGCTTCCAAAACTTTATAAGCCGCTATTTAACATTTTTGTTTTTCATCTGATGCAGCATTTAAGTTTTGGATTAGACCCGTTACAAAACCTAACCAGAATATCATCAGTTGATTTAACCTTATTTTTCACTTGTTCCAATCAATTCTTGTGCATTTTACGATAAAACAATTATTTTAATATCGTTCTATACCATTTAAAGTATCATAATATTTATACCGTAAATAAAATTGCCTATTTAACTGTAAAACATCAATTATGCCACGGATTTATATTACAAGGATCGGACACTTTCGTTTAGCTTAAAGTCCCGTCGCGCGCATGCGCGGAATCGGATAAAGGTGGACAGAATCAGATGGAGGAACGTGCGGAGTACGAAATATGACAGATTTTCACCGGAGTAAGTGGTGTTATTGCAGCTTTGTGAAAAATTATACACATATGAATGTATTGATACAGTATTATTTTGTGTCGCTAAAGTATTATTATATGAAAATATGCTGATAGAACGCTGCAACGCTTAGTTAAAAAGTACCTAATTTAAAAAATATTCGCCTATTGTTTAGGCATACTCTCTACACTTCGCCGCCCTTTTACTTCAAGCACGAATTATTACCGCGATTCAGAATAAGATAATTATTTTTTACATGGCTTAATGATGGCATTGCAAAAAAACGTTTCTTGATTGCTAAAAAACTTTTAAAGAAATTCATGTTTGAAATGTGTCTTTATTTCTGTGAATTATTTCCAAATGATTTGTACATTTTTTATTTGATTACCTGTATATTAGTATAAATATAGTAAATATTCTACTATTAAGTGTATTAAATATTTTTTCAGATCATTCTAGACAAGCATTTCTATATAGATGAATTCATTAGATTGGCAAGGAAGAAACTTTTATTGGCATAGAGAACAGCTGTTTTATAATATTATTTTTTATTTTGAAACATAATTTTTTCATAGATATCCTAAACAATTCACGTCAAATGATTTATTTATCACATGTTTATTTTCATCATTTTTCAGAGAAAGGACTATACAAATTTAGTTGTATATTTTCAATTTCATTTATAAATGTTAATAAAGAAAATAGATTTACATTGTATTTATATATATCCTCTTCAGAATCATTTTCTTACCACATATGCCATGAACTGTAGTTAAAGACCGCGCATATACAAAATATACATTCAAATTATAATTGTTTTTGAAGATTGAGTGTTGCAATTATCACATGTAACCTGGTAATGAAAGTTTGGAAATAAAGTTTTTTTAATTATCACTTACCCCCCTTCAAAAGTAATTAAACTTGAAAGAAATTTAAGCGATGTGTAAAAAATAATCAACAGTTACTTTTATTTCGCAAAATACTGACTCAAACTGTAAAGATTTTTATTATTTTCCTAGTGTTAAATTAAAAACTATAATAAATATCTTTCTACAGGCATTCAAATAAAAAGAATAATTAAAATATACGGATTAAAATATACGAGTGACATTAAAAAGGCCGGAATCGAGACAGCCGCACGAGAGAACTTTACTGTTACGATGATTGTCTACTTCACTGCACCGACATTTGAAAACAGATTTACAAAAAATAATAATGATATTAATGATGAATGAAATTTAAATATTCTATGAATATGGCAATATTGACAATCTCGGCAATATTTTGTACTAAAAAATGAATAAATTTTCTTCACGTGTAAAGGCCGCAATACATTACCCGTAAAACGATTGTGCGTTAATAAATTTGACTACATAACCCAACAAATCTTAAATATTGCATCTTTGATCATCTGTGAATAACTTACATCGGCTTCTTTTTTGTTTTGAAACTGAAAGTATTATGGTGCCGTAATAATAAATTTCAAATACCTGCTTTTTATATAAAAAAAATGTAAATTTACCGCGGATTTCGTCAAGTTAATTTTTTAACCGTCGTTGCGGACAGATAAACTGTACCTTTAAAAAATGAATTAGATATTTGAATTAACCAAGTATTTTTCTTCAAAATAAACTTTAAATTTCCAAAATCGGATAATAAATGAAAAAGCTATATGGTATTTTGTAAAGTAGGTATCCGTTGCGAACGGGCATTTACGCTTCGCGCCGGTAAATTATCGATCGATGTACCTTTATCGGGTGCACGACAAGATATTTAAGCATTTATATAGGGTTAACTGGGAGTGTCCGATCCCTGTAATATAAATCTGTGATTATGCTGACGACAGTCGGCCATTACATTTAGGTGCTACGCGAGAGTTGTGTACTATATTTATTTAGAACATCTTTGTTGACATGATTTTCATATTTTTATTAAAGATAATGTTTTTATTTATTTTCATTACTTTATAAGTACTTAAATATGAATATATTTAATACAAAAGTCAGTAAATCACCTTTTTCAATATCTTAAAAAAAAGTAAATAACAAAAATATTGGAAGCACATGGGTTTGTAAAGGTCAATCTCGTAATCACATAGTCAAACGTTTTTGCAATATCAGGGCCTTTTCACTAGTTTTGGGGAAGGCGCCCTAGCCCTTTTTGTGGGGAAAAAATGCGCGATTTTCACACTTTTGGGGAAAATATCATACTTTCACACATTTCGGGGGAATATCATAATTTATTTGCATATCTTCCTCCAATCACATTTAAGGTTTACTATAGTACTAAGCTTTCTGTCCAACAGGAGTAAAAAACATGTTTTACAGATCAATTTATTGCCCCTTTATATTAACTCATATTTCCTATTTATAGTATTTTATGTTGGTCATGTGAGGGTTCTTGGTTTGATTCAGAGGGTACATTATTATCAGTTTACACTGTATTACTGGCACTGAAAGTTTCTTTACAAGTTTTATTCTTCAGTTAAAGGGGAAATATTTGCCAGAAGGGGAATTTTAGACTGTTTTTTGGGGAAAAAAGGTAGTAATTTGGCTTAGGGGAGATACAGGCTACAGCAAAGAAGGGGAAAAAGGCCCTGAATATGGCGGCCAAGTGCTGAATTTTTTACCTGTCGGAAACTATTAGGTAGTTTATGTTCATAATAAGATTTTTATTTGTCCATCTTTGGCTTTATATCAACAGATTATCTATAGTTCTATCAAGGTATGCTTCACTTTACTTCATGGCATCATTGGCATGTTCGATGAATGAATGCGAGTGTGTCAGATTCCTGGCACGATTATTGGTGGACTTTCCCTACGGGTCTGTCTTCAGCGTTCATGTCATGTCATAGTATATAAACGGGTACGCTGAAGACCTTAAGCTAATTTATACCAGGTTGTACTTTGCACAAGGATGAAAGCAATAGATGAGTGTAGCTGATTTTTTCTAACAAGACTAAGTGATTGTACAAAGCGGAAAGTGTAAAAATGGCTTGAGCCCTACTGTTAGGGTTGGATACCGATAACCGGTACTTACCATACCAGTCTTTCCGAAAGACCGTCGGCCCTGACCGGTAAAAAATCAGAAGGTCCGATAAAAATATATGTATTGACGGCCCGACGGTCCGGTAAAAAATTAAGGTTTTATAAAAACCTTACATTCAACATTTTGCAAAGGCCGATCATTTACCTAAATTCAAAACATATCAAAATGTTGTCATTACACAATATAAGCTCGTGCAATGCTTGTCAACTGTTATGCATTCTCATAATGCAAACTTTTATGTAACTACGTAAGATAAAAATATCCGACAACTAGTACAATTAAAAGTCAATAAGCGGCCACGTAAATTACATAAGCGGCCCAGATGTGAAAGGTCACCCGCTATTAGTTTGTTTACACAGATGAAAGTGTCAGTGTATTAATTGGAACAATTTACGTCTTTAATCCACAGACTTAGAGTAATGCTTAATTACACGTGTGCTCAACTGGTGTTTAGCTATGAAAGATCGTCCAAGATGTTGACAAAAATTAAACTATACTGTGAAGGTACCAAAATCATTGAACAATTAATCTGTCAACTTCACTAAATTACCGATATATTATATAATTCTGTTTACATATACCAGACTTTTGCTGAAATTTACCCTCTCATTTTGCTAGTATATAGTCTGTATGGAATTAAAGTTTAAATAGCAAAATCCATTGAATACATGTATAACAATATTTATGTGTGGTGAAAAAAGATAACTTCACTTTGTTGATAATATAATTTTCTTTTTGTACACAAATTTTTGTGACTGCTGACACTTATCAAGTGACTCAAAATGCTATACCAATCAGGTTTTTTTCGGTCCTGTAAAATCATGTTTGGTCCAGTAAAAATTTTCAGTTTACAGGCCCTACTGTCCAGTTAAACTCAGAAGTCTTTCGCATAGACTGCCATACCGAAAACTGTTTCATAATATACCGGTACATACCGTTTCAAAAAGTACCGGTATTTTTAACGGTATTTTCAAAATTAAAAGCAAAGAATATTTACAAAAAAACAAAGGAAAATGAATAAAATTAACGATTATTTACGTCAATAATATCACAAAAAGAATGCGAAATGGCCGTGGTCTGAAATGTCCGTAGTGCAAGTCAAGGGAGATCACTACCGAGTGCACGTGGTAGCGGCGATATTCGTATTTACAAAAACCATTATAATTACATGCTGCATAATTTCAAATACTTGATACAGCATTTGTTGATGTATTATTCGGTTTTTATTCCCAAAATTTATTGTTACTTGCTATTAAACATTTCTGCAATATTCATTAAAATATTCGAATTTTATTCATGTCGTTGCTGATGTCAACAATATTATGGTGGGGTCTCGATCAAAGCGGTCTCCGGTCTTGGCACATTTCACTCCTAAAGAAGGAGGTGGTGTTTGCATTTATTGTCAAACGTTTTGCCTTGGGAAAGGTGGAAATACCAGTAATTTAATTAACCACCTGAGACTGGAACACAATTTACAACTAAAACAATGTACTCTATTTGACTCGTTGAAGCCAAAGACTGCTAAAGGAATATAGAATATAGTAAGCAATTTCACAAAGAAGCCTGAATATAATTTTAATTTATAAAACATTATAAAACAAATCAAAATAAAATACCTATAGCAATAATGAATACATAATGAATAGGGCTGCTCAAACATACACTTACAAGTATCGGTATCGATAAAATACCATATCGTTTCACGAGTATAGGTATCGTATCGTTTCGTTCTTAACGATATCCAACCCTACCTACTGTATATAATACTGTTTAAAAAGATATATGCCAGACTTTCACTGAAATTTACCCTTTTCATTGTGATAATGTTTCATAGTCTGCATGGAATTTAAGTTAGTTGTTAAATCCATTGAATACATATATTACATTATTTATGCATACATTTTGATTATGGTGGAAAGACTTTACCCTCACAGAGTTTTTGTGCCCCCACTTTAGTCGCTGGCATTTAGATTAACCCTTGTCCGTCCGTCCTTCTGTCCATTCGTTCACTTTTGTGTCGCACATAACTCAAAAAGTATTTGACCTAGAGTCATGAAACTTTACAGGAATGTTGATCAGCATGTGTAGTTGTGCACCTGGGTATTTTCGTATGGATATTATTAGTATTTTTAGAGTTATTGCCCTTGACTTAGTAAAATTTTGCAACTTTCAACTTGTGTTGCATGTAACTGAAAAAGGATTTGACCTAGAGTCATGAAACTTTACAGGAATATTGATCAGCATGTGTTGTTGTGCACCTGGGTATTTTTGTCTGGATTTATTTAGTATTTTAGAGTTATTGCCCTTGACTTAGAAAATTTTTTCAATTTTCAACTTGTGTTTCTTACATCGCATGTAACTCAAAAAGAGTTTGACATAGAGTCAATAAACCTTACGGGAAGGTTGCTCAGCATATTTAGTTTTGCACCTGGGGTTTTGCTTGTGGATTTATCCAGTATTTGTAGAGTTATTTCCCATGACTTAGTAAAAACCGTTTCATTGTTGTTATTATTTCCTTGAGTGCTTGAGTTAGAATTAACCAACTTTACAGGAATAATGATCAACATCACTAAATTACAGGAATAATGATTCACATCACTGTGAAGTTATGCACCTGGGACTTTGCATGTGGATTTTTTTCAGTTTTGTTAGAGTTATTGCCCTTGACTAACAGTAGTATAAATTTGCAATTTTCAACTTGTTCATGCATAGCTCAAAAAGTATTTCACTTTTAGGCCTGAAAGTTTACAAGAATAATGGTCAGAATGTATTTGTAAAGTTCTTGCCCTTTACTTAGTAAAAGATTTTTAGTTTTCAAAAAATATTTGACCTAGAGTCATAAGATTGACAGAACAGTGGCGCGGTGGGGGCATCCGTGTCCTATAGACACATTTCTAGTTTGTTTATAATATAATTTTCTTTATATACATAAACTTTTGACTCCTTACACTAGTCAGGTGACGAAGAGATTTTTTTCCGGTCCATTTAAATCATGTTTGGTCCAGTCAAAATTTTCATTGTACAGGACCTACTGTCCAGTTAAACTTCTTTTACAAGATCATAAGATTTTCAATTTAACATGCATGGTATACAGCCGCCAGAGGGGGACAGCTTTCTGTCTTTCAGACAATTAAATGTATCAGCTAGCTGATTATATAAGTCATGGTTCTGGTGAAGGATGTGTACAGGGCATTTCAGGGGAAAAAAGCATTTTTAAGGGAAAATATACCTATTTTGCGCCTTTATTCAGCTGAAAATATAGGGAGAAAAATCACTGGCATTAGCAGTAATGGACCAATTACAGCATAACATGTTTTAATTTATGATTGATTTATTAATATTAAAAACTTATTTCCGGTATTAAGTACATAAAAACAAAGTTGGTTGCCACTCATGTGAAATTCTCTCCAGAACTATTTTTTTGGCATTTAAACTTTCTTTTAAATAATTGTTATTTTATAAATACAAGTAGGTC